GATCTTGACTGTGAAGCAGAACAAAAACTATTTGCAGATAGTTGCAGTGATTTGCAAAAACTGTTTGCAACTACCTGCAATTTTTGCAGCTCACCCCACGCCCTTTTCATTCATAGTAATGAGTGTATCAGCATTCATTCCTCCAGCAGGAGCTGTCTCAGTGAAGCAGAAAATTCTTGCTCCCCCAAGTCTACTTCATTACATGACTATTTTCCCCACAACTGTCTTTCCTGGGCCTGTTGAAAGCCAAGATTAAAAGGTGTGGGTGGGTGTTAATGCTCTGTTTCCAGTGACACTAAATTTGCCAGTGAATTCCAGTCTTCATCTCTGTAGATTTCTGAAAAGCAGAGATGCAGCCACTTAACACCAACCCTTCAGCCACTAAAAAAAATCCCCACTGAATCAAAGGCTATGCTTGCTATCAGCTGTAATGCAATTTTACCCTGATTTGTATCAATGTACAACATGCTATTGCTCTACCACTTCTTAACCCTATGTTAACCTTTCCCACTGACTTTAGGTAAAAAGGTGAGGGTATTTTTGCTGTCTAGCTGTAATCCTGTGCTTGTTAATTGAGACAGTGTTCCTCCTCTCAGATACAATCCAAGATGTTTCAGACCACATTGGTTAGCTGTTTCTGGCATTACTTCAGGGTGCGTGTCTAAGGGACTCTGGCCTTCTGCTGAAGCAGCAGGAAAGCAGCTGGCAGCTGCCCAGAGTGCACAGCTGCCCAGTCTGGTCAGACTGCGTTCAGGGTCCATGCATCCTGAAGCAGGGGCTTGAGAGGACTGACTACACAAGCATCGCATGAACCCAGAAAGAAGTGCAGCAACTGTTTCACGTGGCTGAGACAGGCCATGGCTCAGGGCATTTGAGAGGGAAGAAGAGGGAAATGTGAAGATGGAGGAGAAGGAATGGAGAAGCTAGAGTACATAGCTCAGACCGCTAATCTACAGATTATTCATACAAACTGGCTGAAGTCTTAGTCTATGTGGGCAATTCCTGGAGTTGATGTGACCTTCTGACCAAATGCTATAGGTGTGAAGTCAGGTTAGTGACAGAGTGCAACTCAGATTAATTGACAAGACAAATCTTTACATGATGCAAGTCTGGATTGCCTTATGAGAAGTACTAGTATTAATGCATCAAAAATAATAGTTATTTAATATTGATTTATTACCTGGAAAACAACTTCTTACACTGCTTGTACTATGGGACAACAGCTCTGCAGTCTTCCTTCTACCCTTTTGAAAGGGGGAAAAAAAAACCCCACACACCAAACCCCCCATCACCAAACCTCACACCATCCATCTACTGTTACAGACACAGGAATAAAAAAAAGTCACAAGTAAAAAGGTAGCTACAATACATTGCAGAGTTTTAACACATTTCAGACTAGGTGTCTACAGTTTGATCGTGCTCCTATGTTGAGCGTAGAGAAACCCAAAGTCCTCAGCCAATTTTTCCAGCTCTGCATCATGTTTAACAACTGAGTCAGGTATTACCAGAGGTTTAGCCCTTTCAAACTCACTGCAGGAAAAAAAAAAAAAACATCTCCTTTCTGTCACAGCTGCTTTCCTTGTGCTCAGTAGCGTCAATGTGACTTACAGGTTTTGCACCAACTTTTCCCCTGAACTTGATTGTTTTAAAGCCAGAGAAACCAAGTCTATTTGTATGTTAATTAACAATACCTCCCTGTTCTTTATTTCCCCACATTTGGTTCGTGGCTTGTCTTCAGCAGTGTGCTAATGAGCATTTCTCAGTTTCCTTTGGCAGGAATAACTAACATTTTCCTGCAGAAGAAAACTATAGTTAAATTTGTAGGACTTTATATTCTTCATGGCATAGAAATGCACCTTGAAAGATCATTGAAGTTTTTTCCTGTTTACTTAATTTACTAGGAATTTAGGTATCGCCCATCAATTTTTCTGCATTAGTTTGTCAGACCAACAGTAGGATTTTGATACCACAGAGAAAAGCAGCCACTTCAGGCAGGTAGGATTAGAAATCCCTAATCAAGCTTTTTAAGCTACATTAATTACATAAGCATTATGTTAAAAAGTTACCTAACAAACAGCTGAGAAGATTTTTATTAAAGGTTGAAAGTTCCAGGTTAATTCAGTTAAGGGCTAGAAAGTTTTGTCGCTGCTGTTTTGAGATCCTCTAAAGACACCTGCAATCATAGGCATCTGTCTAATCGAATTACAAGGGTACAGTCTTGTTTGGCTGCCCGCATGATTTGTAAGTAAGCTGTTCCAAGACTAGATGCACTAACAAAGCCTGATTTCCTTCCACTTGGGATCCTTTGTTTCCTAATTCCCTCCACCCCTAAATGCAGCTCCCCTCATATTTCCCATGATATCCCTACTAAGCAAAAGACAACACAAGTTACAGTTTAAAGTTATTAACTTGGGAGTCGGTGTTTCTTGTGTTGCTTGAGCAGCTGTGGTGTAAGAAGGCGTATGGCTTCTGAGTTGTCTGACTTCCTGAAGATTCCTCCTCTACCGAAATGCTTTTGTTACAGAGGAGGTCTTCTCCTCTTTCATGTTTGGCTTAAGTTGCCTATTGCTTCAAAGGTTTATTCAGAGGGATTCAGAGACATGGACACATAGCTCGTAAGACTTACTTCCCCAAGATAGCAGGTTACACCACACAACCTGTATTTACCTGCAGTCAAATTCCTCTGGGAAACTGCAGCTTCCAGGTCATAAACTTGACACTGCAATTCAGCAACCTGCTGGAAGGCATCCCATTTTAAACTGCACTCTTGGGTTAACTGGCTTCTTATCTAGAAGGTGGTAAAAGAATTAATAGCAGCAACAAAAATTCATTATCTGACAGCTCTGCCTCAAAGCAGGGGCCTAGATTTAAAGGAAAAGATGTTGCCCTGTGTGCTTTTGTGAATGAGAGGCCATCACTTGTTGGTTGAAATAATCCATAATTACAGCTTTGCTAAACATACCCATAATCCCTCTGAATGCAAAATACAGCACAAATAGTGCAAATTGACATTAGTGTTTAATAGGACTCTGCATTTCAGGCATTGCTGGAGGAAGATAAAAAACAATAGAGGCCTTTTCTCGCTGCGTGTAATCCTATTAGACAAGACCCTACCTCCATTTTCAGGGCAGAAGTACGTGGAAAAAACAGCAGCTCTCCTTCATCTCTCCACAGACTAAGTTTAAATGTAGAGTTTGTTAGTGTTAATGACCACATAGGCGCTAGCTGCAGCGGGGACTGTTGTGTGGCAATAAAAGCCTCCACACTGCAGTTGCCATTTTCCTTCCTGCTCTCCTTAAAGGCTGATCTAGATGTTGACATCTCTGATCTCTGAAGGGGGTTATTTTGTAAACACAGCAAAACAGTTTGGAGCCCCATCAAAGATGGACACCAATGAAATCAGTGGTCTTATGTGTCTGCACCAACTGCTTTGGCTGTGTAAAAGTCTCTTCATGATTTTGGTTAGAAAACATGCCAGCAGCCTGAGAAATTATTCCCAGCAGAATGGCATTTGTCATCCTGACTCTGGAAAACAAACAGCCCATGCTTTCGCCTTGATGCTTTAGAAGACTGAAGACAGAATATACTTTTCTTGGTTTACAGGAGAGGCATTCAGATACATTTACAAAGCTTTTTTTCTCTCTAGACCAAGATAGCAAGGGCAAGGAGACTTCAGCAGCAGCAAAGCTGTCAGTTTGTAGATGGATTCATCTAGTTAAAGTCCAATCAGGTGGTTGCCAAATGATATTTTGTTCTGCAGGCTATGCTACAAAAGAAACGCTGCACATTTTACAGCCAAGAGCCCATTCTACCAGCTGTGCTAAACACAGAGATTGTATTTACTTGCCCAAATCAGTTTTTAAATTCAAGTAGTTAAATCTCTTTTACGGGAAGATAATCTTAAAAGTGGCTCTGGTTACTCAGTTACATTAAATCAATGATTAGCAATGCAGCAACAGATTTAAACTCAATACATCAGTTCAGTACTATGGCATCAGTTTAGTGAAAACTAACACCATTTCTGTGGCCAGACTGGATTAAAGCAGTTCCCTTCCCATTCCCTTCCCAATACATTCATTTGTTAGTCCAGAATTCAGGAAACAGTGGTGTAATGTATGGGAAAGAGAGGTAAGAGCAGAGGGTTTATGTCAAATGCAGAGCAGATAAAGCAAAATGACAGCAGTTTGTCAGCTCTGCAGCACTGGTATCAAGGTAGCAAAGCCCTGCCTGGGAAGTGTCACAGGGAGAGCCAGGAAAGCGACAGGCACCGCAGACCCAGGAATGTGGCCCCAGCAGCAAGGCAGAGCCTGAGTGAGGCTCCAAAGCTCCACGTTTCATCTGGTGAGAAGGACAGCGGTTACAGCAGAGGCCTGGGGCACACCGCTGGCGGACATCCTGCAGGGGATTCGTGGCTGGCCAAAGCCTCCGGAGCCACTGAGCCCAGCCACTTGCTGCTCTAGCTACTGCACCCCTGATCCCCCCAGGGGTGCAAGCATGTTCTGTCTAGCACCACACACCCATTCCCCCTGCACCAGCACCTTATGCAAGCTCTTAGGTAGTTTACCTATAAAATAAGAAGAATAACACTCACTTTCTAGAGCAAAGTTACTGAACCAGGCTCAACAGCAAGGCCCTGGGAAGCATCAGAAACACATGACACCAACAATATATTGAACACAACCCTAAGCCCCCAGCAGGCGGGGCCCAGCACAGTGCCAAGGTTTATACTGCAAGACCCTCATCCAGAGCACTTGGAGGGCTACAGTGAAGCTCTGAAGTTCAGACACTTGAAGGGATACACTGACAGCATTGAAACTTGAGGCGTCTTTCCAGAAATGCTACTGGGTTTGTTTTTCAAATCTGCATTATGAGTTTACCTGCTGCATTTCTCTTTTGACCCCTTTTTGTTGAAGATGGCATGTTTTAGATTTTTCAGCTTCCTTGGTTAGGCATTTCACTCTCTGCTCTTTTTCTTCCATCTCTTCAAGCATCTTCTCTGCATTTTCAGCTTTCATCGCACTGTGTACTTGTCTCTTCTTGGCTTCTTGTGTCTTCCTCTGTAATACTTCCAAAAGCATTTGTTTCTACAAGATACAATCATGAACACTTCAGGCCTAGATTGCCTTCCCCCCAGTTCCCATACACACCTTTTTAGATTTCCTTTTAAACCTTGGTGACTAGTCTTCCAATGTCATGCCCAGCTGAGCTGAATGAGGAGAGACCCAATCCCACATGGCTTGGTACTGAAGATAATGAAATATTGGTAAATAAATCTGAATTATCCTATGATCTTATGAAAGGATCACAGTCAGAGCTAAACCCAAAATAAAATCTGGGTTGTGGGAAGGGGAAGCACCAGGGAAGGGTAAGGGGGAGTGGGAACGGAATGCTGTATTTACATGATTGCTTGTTAGAGAGAGAAGCCTCAAAACAACATTCATGTGTAGAACTCATTCAGTTGCAAATAAACAAGAAGGCAGTTGCTTCTAATTTCCCTAGCCTGCTGTAATTCGCTTTCTGCAACCAGCCTCTGGTCTGCATGTGGAAGTTGTTTTTAAAACAACATATAAACAAGGAAGGAGTTGGGGGGGGAACTGAGCACAGCTTTTTCAAGCATTGCAGTTTATATGTGGTTTGTAGAGACAGCCAGTAAGTATGGCTACATTTTAGAATCTGTACCACAATTGAATGCAATGGTATTACAAGCCACCCATATCAGGTCAAACCCCCCTGTACAGCCAAGGGTTGTGGAATGGGGTCTGCTATTTGTAAATACCATCATCACAATCTGTACCAAGGAAAGAAATTAGGAAGAAGAGAAAGAACCAGAAGCTGATGTCAGAAACAAAACAAAACAAAACCCCTAAACTACCACCACCACCAACAAAAGCAGCTGCTAGAAAGATGGTAGATGCAGTGGGTGTTTTGGAAGTAAATTGATGGCTTGTCAATGAAGAAAACCAATTTATCAGCCAAAGGCAACTCCACTCTTCTTTGGTGAAAAATCCAAACACAAAGAGCTAAAAGCAGTCACAGCCAAAATATTTTTCATTGGGGAGCTCTCTAAGTCTTACTAAGGTTGGAGTTTTTTAGACCAATAAGCTCAGAATGGAGCAACTGAAGGGTGTGCTTTTCAGTTTGACTTTGAGGCATGGGCCATTTTAGCACGTGTAGCCATCTGTAGAAGTGAAAGGGAGCTTTCTGTGGCAGTGATATATCCATGAAGGTCTTCAGATGGAAAAAAAAACCCCATGTAATGAATTTGTTCTGGATTTAATGACAACATCCCTGAATGTTTCCTTGAAATTTAATCATTGGGTGGAAGACTAATAACCTCAAGATCTGTAATTTAATTTTTTTTATCTGTGGAATAAAATATTAATAGCGTCTTTTCCTCTTCTAAAACATACATCCAGCACTGTTGATGGCATACATAAATGTAGTGCCTGTAGCTGTCATTTTGGTAAGTGACTCAAAACTTTATCCAAGGTGCTACAATTTTTTCCCTAGTTCCCTCTACCTGCAATGGTGAAAACACTCAGATGGACACATTGTTTCAGTGTCATAAAATACACATCCAGCTTCAGTAACTGTATTATGCAGTTAGTTTTGAATCCATTTCTCTCCTAGAATAACAGTAGGCTAAATCCTCGTTAAAGCAAGTGAGATGGAGAAGAGAGTTCAACTTGTTGCAGTGATGAAACAGGACCTGTTGAATTCAGATACCTGTTTATGTAGCTGTTTCTTTAGCTTGTCATTGTCTGCCTGAGATTTTGCAAGAGCTTTCCTTACAGACATGAGCTGACCCTGAAACAAAGTGACCTCTTGTTCTGCCATCATCTTATCATTCAGACACTCTTTTTTGTTTTGAAGAGCTTCCTGTAAACAGAAAGTACATAACAAACAACGATGAGAGCAGTGATTTTCTCTCTTTTATATAGCAGCAGGTTTCTTGAAAGGTGAATCTCTCAGAGATTTTAGTAAAGTGAAATTGAATTATTCCTATTTTCTAATAAAGGCTAGACCTTTTTTTAAGGCAAAATGGGGAACAGGATGGACAAGAGGGGTCCTCTAAAGGGGAAAACGTAAGATAATCTTTCATATGGGTACAACTGCACATCTTTAATTATATTCACATGTCAACTATTCAAGTTCTTGCGTCCAAACAAGCTCAGAGCAATGCAAAACTTGATCTTTCTTATGCATTAGACAGATCTGTCCATCTATTAGTCTGTTTATTCCTTCATTATCTTGAAAGTAAAAATTAGTGTGATGAAGCTTGTTTTCCTTCTGGGCAGGGTCTTTTTGTTTGTTTTAAACACAAACATAAATATGTATATACATGTTACTATGTCGGGCACAGATTTAGGAGCATTCTCTCCTTTCCCAGCCGTTTAAACTGGAAGCAAGGTCCATGATCCTCTGCACTTGGAGTGGAGGACAGTGAAATACAAGTTCTTAGATCTTCAGGATCTTTCCAAAGTCAGACACAAGAAAGCTCTGTCTGAGCAAGATGAGCTAGTTTCTAATTTTAAAAAGCCAGATTTTCCCATTTATTTTCCTTGGTTTCAGACTTCTTTTAAATCCTGTGGATAGCTCTTATTTAAATCCACAAATTTGCAATAATTCAATACATCTTTGACTGATCTGTTTAATAAAATATTCTAATGATTTAGCATCTCCCTGATATAACTGAACTAAGTGTATGCACATCCAGTTTTATTTGGGTTGAAAATTAACAAGCACACAAACCCCATTTTGTTTTCACTCTTTTTAAGTTAACAAATATGATCCATTCTGCCTTTCCTTTGCTTGACATGTGCAGCTAATTAACCTATATAACAATCAATAACCTGTTTTTTCCATTCTAATCAGCCTCATTTAAAGCAGTGAGGCACTTTTCTTTCCATCCATCTTCACTTTAGTTTAATTTAGTCATTTTTGTGCTTCATCTTGTATTTCTGTAATTAAATTTATAAACCTCATGTTGTGTTCTGCTTTGTTTAAGCAGATAGCATCTAAAAAAAAAAAACTCAGCCACCTCCCAAGCCAACAGTCTAGTTCCTTATAACTTCATGTCTGCCTGTCGTCTTTTTCATATATTTTAGTCAGTTGTGAAATAGTTGATTTTGATACAATGTCATAATTAGTCTTCTGAGTCAACAACAGAATTAGGAATACTATAGGCTACTCATACTTCCTAGACTCTTGCTTGAAGCATCAGGGATTTGTTTCACACTCCCCACATTTGAAGACCACCCTTATACCCATAATATAGAGGAGAAAAAAGTTTAGAATTTTTACCTAAAATCTGCAGTTACCATGAGATCCTATAGACTTACTAAGTAACAGTGAGCCTGCCCAATTTGACCATTAGGTTTGCAGAAAATTAGAGACTAATAACAGATGAAATGGTAAGGAAATATCACCTTCTCAGCATCTCTAAGCTTTGCAGAGAGCTGTGCCTTCTGAGTGGTTTGCTTCCAACAGTTCAGAGCCTTTAGCTTACAAACCAGCTTGCTCAGCCTGATATTTTCATCCTGCAAGAGCTGCAGCTGTTCCTGCTAAAGAAGACGTCAGTAAGAGCAGACCCACAAAGATTACTTTCCCCAGGAAGAAACGTGTGGTTTGGAAGTAAATACAATTGTGAAAGCATGCAACTATTTGTATTTCATTTTAATTTTCAAATGTTCAAGCTTGGCAGTTTGAAACAGCGCAGCCTTTGGCAATAAATTTCTATTAGTGTGTCTCCAGGGAAACAGCAAATGTGAACATTGTGCAGAAACTGGGAAAAAAAATTGAAGAAATTTAATCCAAACCACCAAGCAGGTAACCCCCTCCAAAATGAAGCACTGTTAATGGTGATAAATACAATTATGCCAAATGGAGGTTCTGGTTCGTACCATATTCAGTAACCTGGTTCACTCTAATTACAATGTCCTTAATAAGAACAAAATTAATGGATTCATGAAAAGTATAGTAATCAGGTTTTCTTCTTTGTTCACAATAGCAGACTTCCTCCTGAAAACTATTCTTAAGGTGGAAGAATAGATTTTCATTATGCAAAAATCATAGAAACAAGGGTTACAGAGGACCACTGGAGGTCCTGGCCCTCCTGGCAGAGGTGTCTCTGCACAGAACTACTATTCTGTGTAAACTCACCACCTTTGTGTCCCGTATTAGTTTTATCTGCAGCCAGGCTTTCACCTTCCTAATTTCATCCCTATGGGTCTGTACTCTGATACTCTTACCTTTGCTGCCTGTCCACGTTTCCACTACTTGCGATCTTTTTTTTTGTATTTTAGTCCTTTAAGAAGCTCCTTGCTAAGGCAAGCAAGGCCAGCTTTCTGCTAAACTCCCTGGTCTTCTTGCATAACAGGGTAGCTGGTTTTGAAATCTCTAAGTTTTCTTTAAAAATCAACCAGCTTTCCTTGGTCCTTTTACCCTCTTGGCAGTTTCCCAGGGATTCTGCCTAGCAATTCCCTAAATAAGTCACAGCCTGCTCTCCTGAAGTCCCAAGTCCTAGCTGTGCAGCATAATTTTGCAACCTTTCTCCTGATCCTGAAATCATTTCGTAGTCACCACAGCCTCAGATGACACTCACCACCAGTTTTTCCCTGTTTGTGAGCAGCAGAAGTAGGGATTTACCGTGGTTGGCTCCTCTAGCATTTGCTTTTGGAATATTATCACTAGTGCTGTCTAGGAATTGCCTAGGCTTTCACAATGCTGTGTTCCCCTTCCAGTAGACTTCCAAATGGATAAAACCTCCATGAACACAAAGGCCTCAAATCAAAAACACTTTTCTTAGCCCTCTATAGACAGGCCCATTCAATTTATTCTCCTGAGCAGGCAGTCTGTAACAGATTCCCCACCGCAGTCATTAATCGTCACTAACGATCCTCCCTCATCTGACCTTGACTCGTAGGCTTTCAGTTGTACATCGCCACATTCGTACACGAGCTCTGTGCAGGGAATGAACTCCTTACATAGAGTGCAATGCTCGCTCCTCTTCTTCCCTGCTGATCCTTCTTAAACACCCTGTAACCACCCATGACCATGGTGTGCACCCGCTCACAAGTTCCCATGACTCTGCTCAAACCACAGCCCTTTGACTGAGCATGAGCTACCCACGCTCCTTGTTCACTGCCTCTGCACACTGTTATTTCCCAATGGGGATGTGGAAGTCTCCCTGCGGCCTTGTTACACACAAACTTCCTCCATTTCTGCTGGTTCCTCATTTACTTCTGGGTGTCCCTATCCCCCAGGTTCATTGGGGTTGTTGAAAGCCCTTCTCACTCATTACAGTTATATCCTGCTTCGCAAGCTTCTCTGCTTGAGAGATCTGCAGGCATATTTGCTTTAGACAGAAGTAGTTAGCCATTATCCATTTGATCTCATTTGTTTTCACTGACTGACTACCATAATTTTAGTACAAATTGAACTTTGCTGAGGAGGAATATGTTTGACTAGAAAAAGGATTGATTTGGAAATGACTTTCCAGGCTTTAGTTTATAACTCCCAGAACATCAGTTTTGGGGTCACTTCTTCAAAACATAAAGCTGAATGTATTTTTGATTCTAAGTAACCCCAAGTGGAAAAAAGGAATCTGTCCCCATTCTTTTATGTGACCAGCTTGCACAAGAAGAAGATAAAACTCCTATCAACACATTAATCAGGGTCACTGAAACATCATGTTCTCTTTCCCCCACCCAAAAAAGGGACAATGACAACACATGACAATGCTGACATATGATTGAATGTGAGTTCACATTTACACTTCTTCAGATCCAAATTCAACCTCTCTGATGTTCACCTGTGTAGAAAGCATGGTGTTAGTTTCACTCAGAACAGACTGAAAGCAGAGTTCCTAAGCTTAGAACCAAATTCAATTCAAACACCTGCAGATATTCAGGATCTAAGGGCTGGGTTTGCCAAAATTTCTGCACTTGGAGCATAAACACACAGTCAGAGATGATTGATTCATGACAGCCTGACAAATGAATAGCCATTAACAGTCTAGTAATGGACCACCTCCGTGCTCTTCACGCAACCGATGTCCCAGATAGAATACAATAACTGAAGCCATCTTCAGCAAGCTTAACTAGGATATTATTCTTGTGTTCATTTACTGACACACATACGCATTTCCTTACTTTAGACAAATGTTCTTTCAAGTCGCCATTATTTTTAGTGGAGCCATACTTTTTCTTCAGATCAATCATATTGTCAACTCCTTCTCTTCTCACTTCGCTGATGATTTCAAACACTCGTTGCTCAATGCTAAGGCGATAGACATCCAACTTTTCCTGCAATTACAAACAGAAGCCATAAGAGATGAAGTGTGCACATATGGGAAAGCAACATTCAGAAGATTTCAGAAGTCTCTCAACTACAACCAGATGGTCTTTCTTCATAATTATTTTCCTGGAATCAATGTATCAGGAAGGCAGAGCAATATTCTTCTTGCATCCAGACACTACAAGAAGTGGAATTTCAATTGTATCATTTACAGGCAACTTATTGGCAATCCTGGGATGTATGTATTTAAGGAAGTAGCAGCACCATGGTGAAAAAATAGGCTTTCTGGTGAAAACTGGACTCACCCTCAGGATTGCAAAAGAAATCACAGTATTCCTCAAGTCATTATTGCCTTGGCCACAGACATTAATGGGCTTGTGGACTACCAATCAGAACCCTGGGAATCTGATGCAGGTAGTTACTTTATAATACACATGGTCACAATCAGGTCAGTTTTTACAGGCTAGATTGGAGTATCTTATTTTTGTAAGTAATGACGTATGTCGCCCCAAAGAAATCAGTGGATTACTTGAAAACAAAGGCATTGTTAGAGTGAGCAATACAATTACACAGTGGACATAAAGTTTCCAAGAAAAATAATGCAAAATATTACAGACTGAGGTATTATATCCAAAAAGTTCCCCCCACTATAACTAAAAAGACCTCCCGTCACTCTCTCTGATGTGGTATCTGTTCCATCAAGAATACGCCTCCTCTCTTGGAAAAGGTACACTATTTTTCTACTGGACGTTTTTACAAGATGCTTCTAGCAGCAGGAGATAAATGATTCACCCATTCATCCACCTGGCACAGTGCAGCAATTTATTCCTTTGAGTGCTACACTTGTTGGCAAATTATACAGCAGCACAAAAAAGAGCAATCGAGTACCCCCTCTTATTCTGTACCTACTTTTAGATGGACACAAGTCACAAATAGGTTCCGCACTAATGATTCATATTCATCCCGTACTTCTTTTCTAATCTTCTCTTTGAGACCAAGATTTTCTTCCTCTAAGTCAGCGAGCTGGGCTCTGAGAGCAGTTATTTCCATAATCATCCCATGGCACGGCCCCACAATCTATCACAGCAGAGAAAGCAAATGAGCAAAGCCAGGCATGAGCAAACACCATAGCCTACTGAGTGGCCTGATGAAAATAATCCATTGATGATATAGAATAATCCATTTTGTACATCTCTGTTGGTTTTAGAAACATTTCTTCCCTGGAAACAGTAGGAAGAATTGTGGCAGTTTGCGACCAATATTTGAAGGGGGCAAAATGTGTAAGTTTCATAGATAACCTTAAAATGTCTGTTTCTGGTCATCAGGAAAGACACCTCTCCTCGCTAATAGGTATGAGAACTGACAGAAGGAAATGTGTGCGGAGGACAGAGGAGCAGAAAGATTGGAGAGCAGGATTAGGGAATCTGATTTTAGGAGATGATCCTGTGCATGGCTCTGCTGTGTTGGTGAGCCTACACAGCATAACCTCCCCTGCCTCCAGAGAGAAAGTCAGAACTGTGACCAGGCTTTGTTCAGTAAGCTGTGAGGTAATGCATTTATGAGAGCAAATATGCTGTCTGCTGATAAGCTTGCACATAGAGACCATTTAATACATGATAAAAACAATTATGTGTTCCATTTGTTGTTATTTGACTATTAACATACCCTCAGAAAGGGTACGCAGGTTAGCACAAATAGGAAGGTACATGATAGAACTTAAATGGATTTAAATGACAGAATTTAAATTTCAAATAGGTAGGTCATTGCTAGGTATAAATGTTTGGTCATTTGCATTTGCATTTGCAAACAGATGAACATAATGGAGGAAAGCTAAAATTCATTCTTAGCATATTACGTTACTCAGATAAGAAATAGGCACAACTGCAGACTGTAGGCACAGCCAACAGCACAGTCTGCTTTCAAGGTTGCCTAGCACCTTCACACGCCAGATCTAAGTAGTAAATGCTAATAACTTCACTGGATTATCGCTGAAATTTTCTGTGGCAATTTTTTTGTCTTACAGCAAACATTACTGAGAGACTTCTGAAAATGAATGTTGGGGAAAAATACATGTATTTCAGCCCTGCCGAAAAATTCTGGTGACCTTTATTCAGAGCAGCACTAGTTTTCCTCTGTTTTGGGTGTCTTTTTTGTAAAATCGGCAAAAAGTTTGTCAAATCCTAAGACTGTTGGAGAAAAAAAAACCCAACCCATGTGGTTCATGTATGTTCCTTAGAGTCTTTTTAGTTTTCAAACTATCTGCCACCCCTTTTTGGCTGATCATGCCTGAACCTTTGTCATGTTTTTTAACACTTGCACTGAGCAACTGAGCTTGCTCTTCAGACTTGTGGGAGCCTCTGTTCATTGCTTTAGGCTAGCGAGAAGTAGAACTGGGAGCAGGAAGTGTCTTCTGAGGTTGAAGCAGAGCCCAGACACAGTAGGCAGCGGGCCACCCTGGGCCACTTCCTTCTAGTACAGCACAGATGAGACAGGGATGTGGTGGTGATGGGCTAGTAAAGTGGAGGCGGGGAGAGACTCCACTGCCCACAGTCTCCAGAAAAGTCCTACTGACTCCTCCTGTTATCTTTCCGCCCAGCTGAAACCTCACACATGTTTCTCATTTTCTCTCTCACTGCAGCCTTCCCAAACATATGGATAGGGCAGTGAAATCAGGGAAGAAGGGAGGTTGCTGACAAGACACTGTACAGAAAAGGATATAGGAGCAAAAAAATGGAAAAAGCCTGAGACAGTGGGGCAAGAAACTGATAAGAAGCCCAGAGAAGAACTGAAATCTTGTAGTCAGTGATGAGGACAGATGAGAAAAGAAGCCCAGGAATGAAATGCAAAATGCAGATGTTCTAACACTGCTGTGCAAACATCCCCGAAAACCAAGCAGTCTTCTCCCTAGCGTGGGTTTCTCTAGAAGTTGACACGCCTCTAGCAGTGGAGTTTGTGTTGATGGAGCTAAGCCTCCAAGTCAGCTAATAGATTACACGGATATCACATGATTCCACAAGACAGCATTTCTGATTTATTGTCTGGGTTTATTTCTTTAAAAAATTCCACCCATGCATAGCAGCTATCCTAAAAAAACAGAGCTGAAGCTGCAAAGTCATGTACTCAGAACTTAAGAGGAGTTGCTTATGTAGCTATGATGTAGCATACCTGGTACCTACACTGCAGTATGGCCTACATGCCTGACCCACTTCTATTTTCTGTCATCTCAGTCAATGCACAGGATTGAATTGCTCTGGGAAAATGCCTTGTGAAGGAAGAAACCCATTGGCAGCAGTTTAAGGTGACCAGTATATCATGCATTGTGAACATGAACCACAGAACAGCAGGCCACTACCTTTGCCTTCAGGCTATCTTTGGTTTACAAGCCCTTCTGGTGTGACTTCTGGCATTGAACACAGAAACAGCAGCCCCAGAGACCCCCTTCCTTTCTTCTCAGAGACTGTCACCGTATGTCTGCACAGTGGGACTCTGTCCCAAATGAGACCACTAAGTACTACCAATCGATAGAGCACCATCACCAACCTGCGGCAGAGCCATATCGCTTTGGTTGCCACCTTCTCCCACTGCGTGCAGCTCCTGAAGCAAAGCACAAAGATGCACAGTGACTATGCCTGTGTAGCCCAACTCGACTTCAACAACTTCCCAGCCTGACAGCTTGACTTTATTTTTTACTTAGCAACTGCCTCCCACCTAGAGAAACCATCTTCCCCTGTTCTTGAGGAGCAGAATCAATGCTGTGAGCATACTTGTTCTTTTTGGCAAAGTAAACGATGCTGCTGCTGGAGAATATTTTCATAAAACATGGAGTAGGTCTCAAAGTTGCTGCGCTCTCTGACCATGATGTCACAGCCCAGTATGGTGAGACACTGTTGTAAATGGCTTTTTTTAAAAGTAACCTAGGAAAACAAAATAAGAAACCTTGCAGGTGGCCTGAGTCACAAGAGATGCTATATACAGCATACATCAAAATGAAACATGGTCACCTTATTGTAAATAAAATGCTTCTGTGATATCAAAATGAAGCAAAAATAAAATTATTCAATGTAAATGTTTTTGCCCAATCTACAATTTCACTAAACGAATGCAAAACAGGTTTGTCAGTTTTTTGACTGGTTCTAGCTGCAACTATATAATGTATTTTTTTTTTCCATCTGAAGCTAAAAGAGAATTTTCAGTAGAGAAGTTAAATCATCAGCTCAGAAACTGCCTGGATTGCAGCTGGGGCCCAACATCCCTTCTCTCAAAAAAAACCCATGTTTTGTGTGTTTTAACCAGAATTGGTCATATTTTCATAAATATTTTCTTTAAATTTCACTGAAAAGAACACCTAAAACTGCTTCCTAACATCGTGCTGGACCCTTGGTTTAGCAATGACTCAGGAAGAAGAGTTCCCACTACTGAATCCGTTAATAAAGAAGTCCTGCAATCCTGCATTGCAGTTGCATATAAACCTCCAGCCCTAACTCATCTTCACATTATTACAGTCCTGAGAGCTGAAATAAACCTGTCAGAAGGCAGTAGGGCGATACACAAGTTTGCTGCCAACGCTGCTATTACAAACCAACATGATCTGAATCTAAGCTCATAAGCTTAAGAAATGTGTTTCTCTTTTAGGTCACTGATGGACAAGAGCTTAAATAAATAAAGCTGTAAACATGACTTAGCTGTTGCTTAGATAGAAATGCAGAATATGTACCTCTGTATCTGATTCTTGGTAGTTTTCCATTAGCCTTTGAACAAATGTTTCAACTATCTGTGGTTGTACAACTGAGAAATTTTCTTGCGTTACCCTGTGTTTCCAGAGCTCTGCAGGAACAGAGGGAGGAAAAAAACCCACAGAATAAAACCACACATCAGTGGCTATTGCTGTCACAAAATATTGATCCTTCAGTAATCCCTGGGATTTGACAGTGGGTACGCTTTATATATAGCTTAAGGTTTCTCAGCTTTCCTAAAATGTTTACAACAAAAAGTAAATGTCATTGCAAACAGATTGCAAAGCCTGTGTTGAGCAGCGATATCAAATTCATTCTGGTATTGCCAAAAGGCAATTTCATTATGGACCAGTTCTGTCAATAATGACCTGGCCCACAATTGTGTATTGGAGTTTTCTGTAAATATTGAGTAAAGAATATGGCTTTTGTGTGAAATTGAACATTTCTGTGCACTAATTATTGCTGCCTGCAACCACAATGAGTGATAGTAGGGCACATTTTTCTTCCTTTTTTTTTCCACTTTTTCTTTGTTTTACTATTTGTGCCTGTGAAAACCCAAACTGCCCACACCCATGCAATAATTGTACCAAGTAAACACCTAACATACTAAAAAGTCTGGCATTTAAATTGCACTGGTAGGCCTAAAATCTTAACACTCCAACACAGAGGAGTAGAGAAGTAATTTCCTATCAGGCTGTTTCAGGCTGCCTGCAAACTCCAGAATAATTAGTGTTCAGCCTTGTTTGCACAATTGTCTTTGCAATGTTTATGGCTAAACATTCACTTTATAAAGAGAAAGTGAACTAAGAATTCTAGGGAATTTGAATCTGTGGAACAGGTGGAATAAACAGGTCCATGCAGAAAGATGGATGGTATCTTCATACACAGTTCTTCACGGCTTCCTGCTAGATGTATTTCTGGAATTTCTCACAGTGGGCTCTCCAAAGCAGCAGAGAGTTTCCTGAGGGTAAGCTGTTTTTCATCGGTGATACCTTCCCCATGATTCACCTGGTGTCTGGCCTCCAAATGGGCGCACAGGGAAGCAGGGAGCTGAGAGCAAATGTGCTCTCCTCTTCACACACAGGACAACTCTTTGTTGCCTTTATGCAATCAAGGCTACTTTTCCCACTCAAGACCAGGGCTCCTGTATTTCCCAGGGAGGGTATTATAATTCCCCTTACCAGTGGGGAGACGGCTCTCTTGTCTGGCTCTTTCAGATGTCACAAGAGTCATCTCCTGGTTAATTTTCTTCTGCACATCATGGATCATGTGGATTTCTAGGCTTTCCAGAAGCTTTTGAAGCTAGAATCAAGTTTAATACTTAGCACTTACTAAATCTCTATACTCCTTATAAAGCAACTTCCTAACTAGCAAAAACTAGCAGACTAAACCAAAGCAATTCTCTTTCCATTCTTCTCTAAAATACAGTGCTTTCAGGTACAGTATCAAGGTTAATAACATTTGGGGGTGACTGCATGCCTAGTGCTGTGCCACAAATACACTGGATAGAGGCAGAGGCCCTGTTGCTTTGGGCTGCCCCAGGACCCACAGCTGGCTCTACACAGCAGAGGTGCCATTGCAGGGCCTCCTGGGTCACCCACATCTCCCAAACTTCCCCCCATGACAGCCTCCACACGCCCCCGCTGGACTTCACTTATCAGAAATTGCAGGAAAATACGACCCTGTGTGATCCCCCGCAGCGCCCCCCTAATAACCCTGCCCTTACCTGGTACACTTTCATTTCCATTTCTGATGCTTCTCTGGGGGGAAGTATATGCTGAGTGCTTGTAACGGGCTCTCCAAACTTCTCCTCTGTGCCTGTTTGTCTGACTATGGCTTTCATGGCTGGGTACAGGATAGCTGCACTAGAATCACCAAGATATAGGTATTTCACACATTCTCTCTCAAAATTACTGTGTTTGCATTTGCTGACCTTGGACCTTAACTTTCCTTTTTCTTCCCCTGGCACTGTTGGGGAAGTGGCACATGGCACTTGGCACACATGGCACTAACCCATGCAGAATATGATTAAGTCTCAGCGCGACCTACAAGCAGGGCAGGACAGTCTCTTCTTCACTGGTCTTGCCTTACTACATAGTTCAGTAATTTCTCCAAGTTTATAATAATACAAAACTAAAACCGAGGGCAAGGAACAAGGGGTCAGCCAGATAAAGCAGGGAAATCTGGTCACAGGTAAGAACTTGTCTATCACCGTCATTCAAATAGACCAAGAAACTCCCTCCACCTCCTCCCCCTGCTCTCCGTCCATCTGATCATGGGTTTGCTAAGTGCTTCTGAGTGCTAAGTGCCAAGGCAGACACTCACTTTGCTTTTAGAAGCAGAGGAGCCATTCACAAGGCATATAAGCCTCATTACGTTTTATTGCTTTAATCATGCTGCCTTTTAAACCCTTGATGGCATGACACAAAGGTTAGCACAGAGCTCAGAGAGGGAAGTAGGAAGCTCTAGTCTGTGGAAAGGGGTGGCTGGGGACACTGGAGGAGGGAAACACAGTGGGATTTTTGGGTGCAGTACGTTTGGCAGATTGCCTGCTATGACAGAGCTGTTGCAGGTGCCGCTACAGAATCTCCTCCTGCTCAAAGGCCAGTGTAAGCAAAGCCAGGGGCAGGGAGCTCACCTCTCCTCCCGGGAGACAATAATTGCTAAGCCCGATCTCAGGCATCACCACAAGAAAGCTCTGGGTGCAGAGAGGCTGGGAGATGCTGAGGCCGGGGCTCTCCCACAGCTGCCCAGCCCCATGGTGGAAGCACAAGCTGTTGCTCACTCTGCACGGAGAACTTGCGCCCCTGACTCCCAGCCCTCCCGCAACCCAGTCCTGCTCTGCCCCAGAGCTGCTCCCTCAGCAGAGTTTATAAAGTAGTTGGAGGCAAAGACCATGGGCCCCCAGCATTGGACTGTGCCCCCTCCAATCTGGTGGTAATGCATGGGACGTAACACTGGGATACAGATAGACAGAGACCAGAATGGAGCAAACCTGATACCAGCTCTTTACACACACACAAATTTTCTGTGACAGATTCAGACTTGTCAATCTAAAATGCCTTGGCCTTGTAGGGACAGGCCCACTGAGCATTGCTTCCTCCATGCTCCATTGCATGACAACGGTGTTTTCCAGTACCCTCATGCACAGATTTCACCCTTACTGTGTGATCTTGCTCTTTCACTTCCTTTCTTGTGGTTTCCGGGGACAAGGTTTTTTAAAAAGTGATGTTCCATTTTTTGCTTTCAGATGGGCCTCTCTGATGGAAATCTTCCAATTTTCTATTCTTGACTGCTCAAAATTGAGACAAGTAGGAGGGTTAGGAAGAATTCTGCTACAATTCATCTAACAGGTTTCCAAAATTTCCGTTTATTCAAGTACTGTATTTAACATTGTTTATGGAGCCTGAAATACAGAGGCGGGTCACACGACTGAGAAGAATGCACTTGGAAAACATCATCAGCAAACAGTCTGAATAGACATTGAAAGAGGGGAAAAAACAACCGTACTGAAACAAAGAAACAAAAGGTAGCTCTCAAGCTTTTAGACAAAAGCAAAAGTACTAGGTTAATTATACGCAAAGAAAAAAGAAACGTAGAAATTAAAAAAAAAGGCAAGTGAAAGAGGGGGACAGGAGGAAAATGGATGGAAAAGGCAGAGACTTTTCTCATTTTTCACCTTTTCGGTCACTCTGGAATATTCTTGCATCCGAAGTAACTTACCTATATTGCTCACAAAACTCTTTGTAGAGAGGAACTGTATTGATATCCTCAGTCCTCAGCTTCAGCCGGCCCCATTCTGCCTTTAATATTTCTAGTTGCTTCCATAGTATCAGAAAAGATCTCAGCAAGTTACGTGATAAGACCGGATCATGATGCCTCAGCAAAAGTTTGCACATCTTTTTGCTGTTCTGCAACCAGTTAGCACTTGAGTCAACCACTTCTGCCAAGTTCTGCTGGAAGTCACAGGGAAATGTTTTGCTTCAAAAAGTTATGACAAGCTTTTCATATGCTTTTCTTTGCTTAATAGCATCTCATGCAATGTACAGTGGGACAAGACATGCGACTGGCTATTGCGCAATCAGAACTCGCAATGGGGCCTTATACCGGTGTCATGCAGAGCATGGTATGGGGAAAACCCAGGCTACTTTTTGATTGCAGTGAGTACTCATTGCAGAGATGGGGATAAAATTGCACAGAAGTTAAATTCTTTGTTTTATTGCTGTTTTCCTCAAGTGAGTCACTTCAACAGCAACACTCTCTGCTTGGTCTCTAACTAAAAGTATTGTTACAGAAATCAAACTCTTAGATCTTGAAAGAAGCAGACCTTAAAATAACTAAATTTGTCCTTTCCATCCATTTTACCTTGCACATCAATCAGCATATCTGTTTTCCATCACAAACAGTTTGAACCTCTCCCCATTTCTTGAACCAAATCTTTGTGTAGTTTCTGGCAGGCTTTAGGTGCCCCCAGCAACCATTCCTCATACACACATCCACAATGCAAGTACCTGGGGAAGTACAGCCTGGAAGTACCTTGCATCTCCTTGACTAGATTTGGTTTTAGACAGTGGCCAGGCTGTTCCTTTCCCCTTTGCACTGAGTAGCTCTTGATAAAGAAAGAGCTGGACCTTTGGTGGTGTGTGAGGAGAAGTCGGGATAGTCTCCATTTTCTCCAGAAGTCTGGTCATACCAGCAGGCCCTCAAGAGGCATCTATTACTAGGGCTTCTCTCAACAGCACTAGGATTTATAGAAGACAACGTTGTTCCCTTTGCTTCTTACCAGACGGCCAGGCGTAGGTAAAGTTATTAGGGCATACCTCAGGTCTAGGTCACTTACGTTCACAGAGATTTGGTTGCAAAAACTAGTGGGAGTCCTACATAGAAGCTGTACAGTTCCAGACAGAGTTGTCAGAGGTACCTGCTTGCTCTTAGCTAACGAGACTTGACAGTCAGCGTGATCTTCCACAGCACAGCCGTAGCTGTTCTGGAGTACGTCCTCCATTAGAAACTGCATTGCCACCAGCTCCCCGTGAGCAACACTTCGGTCTGCATCATTCAGGCTGCACAGGCACAGCTGGAGAGGAAGGGAGAGTCTCTGAAGGTCTGCTGCTCAGAGCTTAGCAAGTAATAGCAAATCTCAGGTAACTGTCAGCACAGGGGGTTTTGTATTATAAACACAAATGGATTTCAAGCTTTTAGCACCATGGTCCTAAAACACATATGCCCATATATAAAAATTATTTGATTCTCTAGTTCTAGCACACTAGGAAAATGGTAAGTATAGATTCATTATCAATAAAAATGCTCTGCTCTGCTTGAAGAAAGATCAATTGTGAAGTAAATGGTAAAATGGGCTTTTGGACAGAAAAGGGGGAGATGTTTTTTGTTCACTTCTGTTCTTTAAAAAACAAAGACAGGAAATGAGATAGTATTACTTTGTTTTCCTCCTGCATCATAGATTCATCTTGTCTGTATTTCTTTGGACATAAGCACAAGGCTGCTGTCTCACTGTACCTGCATGTTGTAATTTATATTAATTGTGTTGTTGATAGTAACTGGAAAAAATCCTCCGTCCATTAGGAATGTCCTCCAAGGAAAATGCATGAGTGTCTAGAAGAATAGAGATGACTGTTCATAAATAAGAACAACGTTCAGTTAGTTACGAGAGTCCCATCTCATTTGATCAGGAAAAGGCAACTCAGAGGCCAAGCTGCTATTTGGTATGTGATACACTCTGCTCTGACTTTGAAAGTAGGCCATGTACTAGAAAAGAAAGAAGCATCTATTATCACTCCTTGGGAAAGAAGCAATGAAAGTCATTCCAGAATACATTTCCAACCAAGATGCTGTGCTCCTTCTGCCTACACAGAATAGGTCCCAGGTCCTTACCTACCTACTGTCAATCATTTATTACTGGTCCTATCTTGGAGACATCAGGACATCTTATTCATCAAAGACATGCAGATTTTGCATGCCAGTACAAATTCCATTTCTCGGTTATGCGAAGGAGGCCCTATGTGTCATTGTCACCTAAATCAAGGCAGGGTGGCAGAATGTTGTATTCCTATAACTCTTTGTTTGGGAAAGGCATTATTAAAGGTACCTGATATTGGGTAATTAGCAGGATGGGGTGACAATGAGGAAACATGAAGTTAGAATGATTATTTAAAACTGCCTATTACCTTGGGACACGGTAATATCACCAGCAAGACTCATCTTTACTTTCCCTAACATGACACCAGCTTCTTCTGCCGGTGTCATTCAAGGTGCCTCTTTAGCACATAGGTATCTAATTTGGCATTATGTAACTCTGTGTGATGCTGTAGCCAAGAAACCACTAGACCTAAATATCTTGCACAGAACCATGACAGACATGTTGGGCAACCAAAATAACTGCTAGGTGATGAGAGAGCTCCGACGGGTAATTACCCCAAACTGAAAGTTAGTAGAATCACCATCTATCATGCAGAATAATTCCATTTTGGTGGCATCAGTGTGATTACATTCCATCTCAAATTTTTATTATTCACTTCTGTAGAGAACATCTTCTAGAATTCCTAATGCTGAATCAAGTTACTAAGCTGTAATCATGGGAATTTTTTTAATTAGCTGTTAGCAGTTGGGTTCTTTGCAGCATGGTAGGGAAGGAGTAAGCAGACCAGCAAGGACTGCAGAGGACTTTGTTCTCCAAGGAGCTCCGTGCAAACGGAGGAAGAGTGCCTCTGAGGGTATGCTTTACTCACTCTGCAACTTTGAGGATCCAGGAGCTGTGGGAGCCTTAGCTGTGAAGAAAATGCACTCTGAATTGCAGAGTTACTCAATGGAGGCAGTGCATGGTATATGCTGTCTGTAACACTCTGGTAGGCTGAAACATTCCCCGAGGACAAAAATGTCTCCCTGAAAAGGAACCAAAATGTTTGTATTAAAAAGAAGTAAGATGACTTCAAAATTCTCCAGATAGTCTATAATAAAATTACCTGCTCCTCTTTATAAACCAACACGGTAGTGAGTGATAGGGATAGCAGCAGATATGATGATTAAAACAAATAGGCAAAAATGTTAATGATGTAGATGTATGTGTGAAAGTGCATCTGACTGGGGACATTTACAGCAAAACATATGCCTGTGCTAACAGAGAGGGATGCTCAGGTAGCTATTGGACTGGATAATAATTCAGGAGTTCTACTCCCTCCTATTCCTGGTATTAGGATAATTTCCTATTCAAAGTGGGAGAGCCACTAAAGCTTTTCAAAGTTTTCAAAAGTGCTTGTGAAGCTTTGGAACCTAAATTGTAGGATACTTGGAATCCAGAGCTAGGTTTGGCAACACCACTCCCCACAGATTTTCATGAGACCTGCTCTCACCTAGCAGATGCACCTGGTCTCACACAGCAATGCAGGTGACACCAGAGCCCAGCTAAACCCACAGAGTGCTATTCCAACACAGGGGTCTAGCGCTTCTGGGACCCAGCTGGCTTCTCATGCTTGGATTGCATTGTGCCGTGCAATCACCCACATAAATCTACCTTTTACTACACTCGATGCGTCATGTAAATATATTACCCAACCAGGCTTAGACATAACTTTGTCATTTCATTGCAGCCTCTTTGTCACATTCAATTCTCCTGTACTTCATTCACATGCTTTTAAAACAAAGAGCTCCCGTTCAACCAGTTCTTGCAATATAAGAAACCATCTAGACGGCAACTCTTTCTGTAGCTGCACGTCCTCCTTTGAACGGCAGCTCTAAGACAAGGATCTTGTCTTTTTCTTTTTGTCAAACACACACAAGCGCTTTTAAAAATGACATGCAGTTTGTATCAGTTGCAGGACTAACAAAGGAATTACAGGGACAAATAACAGCTTCTGGGATTGAAGTTGGCAGAGAAGTTCAAAAGAGATTAAATGTGATTTCATGTCACACTCTAAGCCCTGGCGTGGAGAAAATGGAAACTAATTGCACTGGCAATAAGGAACGAGAAAGATGAAGCATCTGATAGACTGCATTTCTTCTTACTTCCTGTTAACACACAATTCCTTATCCGGGGAAAATATTTCCCTCACCAATTGCCCCTACAGTATTTTAATCAGGAAAAAATAGAAATAAAAACACAAGGTAGTTTTATCTTCTTGCAAGTCTCCAGAAAAATCTTTAGTCTACAAATACATACAACTACAACTCCACTGGATAGCACAAGAGTGGTCATACTGGGTCAGAGCAAAGGTCCATCCAGCTCAGAGTCCTGTCTCCCACAGTGATCAAAAGTGGATTCATGAGAAGATTATAAAAATCTCCAGAACAAGCATATGCTGATATTTCCCACAGAATTTCTCACAGCCTCCAAGAATTTGTAGCTCAGGCATTTCCTCAGCCAGAGGTGATTGCTAAATGTTTAATAACCCTTGGTAGATATGTTTTCCACGAGCCTGTGCAGTCTCCCTCCGAGTCCTATGAACTTTTACCACCTGCCACGTCCCACAGCAAGAAATCCCACGGCCTAATTACAAGCCTGCAAGAACCACTTTTTTGTTTGTTCAGAGCCGGCTACCTGATGTTCACCTGGGATGCACCTTACTCTGGAAAAGATCGTGAGCAGACACTCCTTGTGTATCCCCTGCGTTCGTTTGACTGATGGTTTTACAGAGCTCTCCCCCAGCTGTACTACTTACTACTTGTTCCACCCAGCAACCTTTCATCATATGTGTGGCTCCTTTGGGAACCTTTCCGAGTTCTCTGTCCTTCCTCAGGTGGGGACCAGAACTGCGTAGGCTTGACAACACAGATTTATTCAGCGGTATAGTGGTGTTCTTATTTTTGCTTTCCTAAAGGGAATCAATTTGCTTTTTGCCCTTTTTTTTTTTTTTTAATCACTACTGAGCTGAGATTTTGACAGAATTATCTGTTATAACTCCAAGATTTCATTACTGTATGGTAATGGTCAAGTCAGAGGCTGTCATTTTATACATTGGGATTGTTTTTTTTCCCCAGGGGCATCATTTTACTGACACACTGAACTCCATCTGCTGTTTTATTTTGCAGTCACTCTGTTTTGTAAGGTCCTTCTCCAGCCAGCCCTTGCCCTTGGTATCCTGGGTATTACAGTATCCTGTACACACTGTACCACCTCAGCTTCAGTCCCTTTTCAAAGTCATCTATGAGCACCTGAACAGCACAGGAGAAAGCTTAAACTCCTGTGGGAAGCCACTGGTAACCTCCCTTATCCACTGCAAAAGTTGCCCATTTACAGCCTTCTCCTTCCTAAATTTCAACAACTTATTTACAAATGTGACCATCTCCTCACATATCCAGTGGCTGCTCAGACTCCTTAAGAGCCTCTATTGAGGCTATTGAAGCTTTCAGGGAATCCAGACAAACTATATCAACTCTTTATCCATGTTTGTTAACACCTTCAGAGAATATGTTTGTAAGGCATGACTACACTTTCCAAAAGCAGTGTTGACTCTTCCCAAATACATCATATCTGTCCATGCATCCACTTCATTACAGTTTCTGCTAATTTGGATGCTATGGATATCAGGTTTATCAGCCTGTGATTAGCAGGATCACCCTTGCAATCCTTTTTAACAACTGGCAACACATCAGCCACTTCCAGTCTTTGGGTATCAAGGCAACGTTAAGCAAGAAGCTACATGCCATGGTTAGTACCTTGGCTTCTTTAAAAAAAAAAAAAAAAAAAAATCCTTGGGTTCTTTCAGAATTCTTGAACCTTGTCTGGTCTTGGCAACTTGTTCATCTTCATTTCAGTCCACTTGTACCATAACTTTCCCTGGCAACATTTCCACTTGCAGCAGCTCTTCTGATGCACCTCCCATAAAGAAATGTTTTGGTGTGGGAACCTCCTCAAGTTCTTCCACAGGGAATGCAGAAACAAAGAAATCACTTTTTAAAATGTGTGCTATTGACTTACCTTCACTGAACACTCCTGATCATATACTGGCCCTATGGACTTGCTGGCAGGTTTCCTGCTCCTGGTATATTTGAAACAAGATTTAT